GATTAACCGCTTACACGGAGCTCCTGATCCTACTGCAGGCGCTAGCGCAGATGATGAAAGCTGTTGGCATTTAGATGCAGAACAAGTCAGACAACAAGTTCGGAATTACCTCTCGCAAGGTGGCTACAGCGGCAGCGGAAAACATCTTCTATCCATGTTCGCTAAGGTAAAGAATACTAGTAATGGTTAACCCATATGATTTCAAAACGACTATTGAATTTGGAAATAAAAAAGACCATCGGAAATAAACAAGAAAATATGAATCACTGAGCCCGAATCATAGGATTCCCCTGCACACGACAAAAGCAACTCGGTTGTTTCCAGCTTGTTTCGCCTTTTTCGTGGATTTACCATCATTCAGACACCAAGCGACTGGCTTGTTTAGGAAGAACACACTCTCTGTCCTCAGTAATAAAATGCAGTCTTCTTTGGAACTTAAATGTACTTTTACTTTTGCAGGTTCGTGAAATGCTTCGCGTTCATGACAACAACGGATCGCGCATGCTTAGGCTCATAACTGAACAATTTCTAGCGGACCCAAGGCTCCAAATATGGAAAGAACAAGGTACCTCTATGAATGACAAATGCAGGCAGCTCTGGGACCAACTGGGAGCATTATGGGTTTGTGTAGTTTTGAACCCAGACAGTAGCCGTGTGGATAAGGCTGCGTGGAAAGCTCAGCTAAAAACCTGGAGCCAACAAGAAGTTTGCCCGTTGGAGAACCCGAACGTTCAGAACGCTGAAGAGAGTGACGAAATGTCAAACGAAACGTGTCCACGCCGTACCGTGTTTTACAGAGCCGTGCAAGCATGTGATTTGGACTGGGACAATAGCAATTTGAAAGCCATCATTGGGCGCGGTGAAAAGGAGAAAGTTAACAAGAATCTCACTTGGAAAGGTAAAGATATTATTTTCACCCTCAAGAGCGACCGAAGTCGAACTATCAATAGAGAGCTTTAGATTCTGACACGAGGACGACTAGGAGTACAAGATTTTCTCAGAGTGCGCGCGCGAGTGAACCAGCGTCATTTTTGGCGTGATAAGTGTTTTGACTAACAATGTGACGACTACTGTCGCTTTTACCAACCTGGAGAGGTTTTAAGTAAAGTGTTCACTACGTCCTACGTTTTTAGGTCAGTAAAAACACTCCTGCCACTTCTCAGTCAATCCGAACTAAAAACTTATAACACGTGACCGACGCTAATGGTTCTAGCTAAATGTTTCCTGGTTGAGTAATCATAGGTATTCTTATTGAATGGTGTAGAGTATGGTGTCATTGGCCAGTTTGATTACTCTGGTATTAGGTCACTAAATGAAAGTGCTGTTTCAGGGCTTCGCTGATTTGAATGGTCAGAATTCATTTTTCAAGAGAGTAATCAAGTGTTAATTTTGTTTTAACAGAGGATGTGCCCATGGCCGCTGCTCGAGTAGATGCCTTGCGGGCTCATGGTTATCCCCAAGAAGCCTTACAATTGGCAGTTGCAGTAGCACGAGGTCTGAAAGAAGAGCAGTTGGAAAGAGTCCAAGAAATGGAAACCTTGATGGATAGTTTCAGTGAAGAGGAAATAGAACATAAACTTTGCGACGAAAGCTCGGAAATAGACGAGTTTATTGAGGGCTGGATCGGGCACCAGCTTGATCCCATTGTCGTGTTGTACGATACTCTTGTAGAGGAAGTGATCGGGCCACAAGAGAGCGATGACGGGCCGAAAGGCGACGCAGAAACTCTCCCCGAAGTGAGATCTGGCTCGGAAATTGATATGTCGGAATACAGCACCGGAAAAGAAAATTATTTGACTTTAGCTCTTGAAGTCGCGCTTATGGGACTTGGGCAGCAGCGAACAATCCCCATGGGGTTCTATGCTCAAGACAAAGCCTGCCGGCAGGAAGAACACTTAATAGCACAGCTTAATCTTTTGAACTTTGACGACAAAACTCTTTACCCTGCACTCAAATCTCAAACTGAACTTCTCTTAAAGAGCGGGCCATCTAGTGGACTGGGACTCGGCGTGCAGGCGAACAGCGTTCCCATGCACACCTTCGCGCGCTTCCTATTCAGCAAATTCGTACACAAGGACCTTGACCTCGCTTTCAAGCTTGGCCTCCGTGCCATGCGTTTCTTGGCTTTAAGTGATTTCTCCGGCGACACGGCGGATGAGGAAATACCCCTGGTGGGGCTTTCTAGAGTCACACGATTGTACACTTTGGGACATTTACAATCACAGCAATGTGAGCTGGCGTCACGCCTTCTCAATGCTGCCAAAGATTCCGCTGACCGTCTCTCCTCTGTTCTTCAAGCAGCTCAGCGGCATATACACTCAGCACCACAGCTATTCCGTCTCGCGCAGGACGCGTTCAAACTATCCAACGTTCAGACGTCTGAGACACCTGACATTGACATGCTTCATGTTGCTATAGAGCTTGGACTCTTAGTGTTGCGCATGACATTAAACACGACAAACTGGCGACGTCGAGAGATGGTGCAATGGCTGATAGAATGCGCCATCGAAGCTGGTACATCTGCTCTCAGTCAAATCATGAAGAACTGGAGCTCACTGTTTACCCCAACAGAAGCGACGTCCATGGTGGCTACGACCGTCATGACGCCCGCCACGGCGGCCCGCCTTCAGCTAACAGTTGTTGAGAAAGAAGCCCTTCTGTGTTGTGCACGAGCGCTCGCTCTACAGTGCGCCAGTCGAGAACCTCAAAAGTGTTGTCTTTCCACACTGAGCCTCTGTGAGAAGAACCCTGCAGCCTTCGAGGCAGCCTACAGGCTCGTTGTAGAATCTGCGGCTGTCATTCCGCCCACCCAACTCTTCGCTATTGCTCGTTACATGGATTACCGTGGTTACCCCCAGAGGGCGTTTAAACTTGCAACACTGGCCATGAAGCATTTCACCCTCGCTTACAATCAAGACAGTCATCCTTCCATTGGAGACATTCATTGGGCATGCGCTCTGTCCCAGGCCTTGGGCTTTAATGAACTCATGCAGATCATTCCGCTTATCATCAAAGCAGTGCATTGCCCGACAGTGCTGTCAGATCTACTCTTCAGGTGTACCTTTGTGAAAGCAACCACTGACGAGTCTCATAATAGTCAATTCTTTATGACGGACAACTGCGGGCTCAGATGTGATGAAGAACCGCTGAGGCAGCTTCTGGAGGCAACAATTAGCGCTTATGTGAACACGACGCATAGCAGGCTGAATCACATCAGTCCCAAGCATTACATGGACTTCGTGTCTTTCTTATCGAAAGCACATGAGACATTCCTGTTAGCCTCCGACGGCGGTAGTCGTTTCCGAGCGCTAATCAACAACATGAAAGTCTTGTACAAAGGAAAGAAAAAACTTATGCAGTTAGTGAAAGAGACATTTGGATAAAACTCTTTAGGAATCAATTTGAAATATGAAATAATTATTTATAAAAATGAACGTTCGCAATCGAACCAGAGATATATTAAAGATTATTACAGTGTAAACAAGATAAGGCGATTATAAATTGTATATTTACTTGTGTGAATTTATTAACAAACCTAGGTTACGTCCGCGTTTCAATTCGCCTCTAAACTTGAAATTAGAAAATTCTTGCCTTGGAGCGCTGCTTAACGTTTTAGTTAATCAGTTTTTCTTTTGGAGTGGTTTAAATTAAAGACGCTTTTCAACGATGGAAATGTTGGCTTCGTTTTATGTGTTTGTCTTCATATCGAGAATTTTCAAATGCAGTGATCCACAAGGTCGCTACCCCTTGCACCCAACTCTATTGTTACTGCACCCTTTACAGTCAACCCTCTCTAAGATGGACACCCTACAGGCGTTATTTTCCGCACTTTTTAGGCAATCAAAGGCAAGCTTATGTTTTTCGTGTCACGTTAAGGCGTGCGTGTCTCGCGCTCCACGCCCCGCCTCGCGCTTGCCTTCGACTATCGACTGGTAACGAGCGAGTCACGGCAAACTGATGCGTTCTTGTATGCGGCGATGATGTTACACGAGACGATTTGCCACGACGATTTTTAGGGTAACAATATTGGAACAATGTTATACCACCTCGAAGAAATGTCGCATCAAAGTGACATTGCCCTGTTGCGCTGAAAATCGTCGTTGTGAATTGTCCCATATAACATCCCCTTTATTTCTTAACTTCACGCCGGAGGTGACCTCACCTTTGGAGCTTAACGATAACGAACTCGAGCAGGAATCGAGGCGAAAACCGTGGAATTGTTTGGGTTCCCTTAACATGATAAGGCAGGTGCTCTGCACGCCCATGTAGTAGACGAGCTCCTTCCTTTGAAGATAAAGAGAAGCCCTTGTAGTTTAGTCATTTCATTGACATTGAAAACGCAGTAGAACCATTCATATTGAACGAAAAAGGGACTGGGAGCTGGGGCTGAAGCCCCTGAAAGCCTACCTTAACCCCTTGTCGCCTCGAACCTTGACTGTACACTTATGGGCCCAGTTGTTCGGAGGCCGACTAACGCTTAACCCGGGTTTCTTTTCCTTATGTTCAAAAGCATTTTCTCGGATAGTTTTCTCTCTAATTTTAGAACTTCCAATCATCAACTTGTGGACAAAAAGAATGAAAACCAAAATGCTTTTTAAGCTTTCAAATCTGAATTCAAATCTCGCACTAACCCTGGGTTATCTTAACCCAGCTTTGAACAACTCGGCCCTGAAGTGTTAAAAAGAAAAACCCAAAGTTATTCTCATTTTGTCTCATTGTGTATTCAATGTACAGTTTATGTCTTAAGCTCAATGAACTTACCGGGACTTTCGAGAAACAGGCCCCTGGACCGAGATATCTGTAACGGCTGCATGAAATGGCGACTTTTCGTTTCACACTACATGACAGGGTTCTTTTTGCTACGGATCGCGGGCGCACATGCACGTTTTCAGCTTGCTTTTTTGTTGGAAGATTTGTTGGGTTTTTGCTGTGCAGTTCCTTGTCGAACTTGTCTTTAAAAAATATTTATCTCGCAAAGAAGGTCTGGGTGTCTCTCTAATATGGATGACACAGAGTTAACTTACAAGTTTTGGAGAATCCGAAAAACTGTGATGCAAGTAAGTGACATTCCTAACATTTAGTAGGTTTAGCTGAGTTTAATTTCAACGTGCACCTACAATAGCACACGAACAAACATTGAAAAATATGCCTATACACCGTTTAAAAGAAATCAAGTTGCTTTTTGTGGCAAGAAGAAGAAACCCTGTGGCTGCGAGATCAGTCAATAACGACAAATTTTTATGTTGCTGACTGTTGAGTTCTAGATGTTGTGATTTTATTTAGTCCTTGGTTTTAATTTTATGTTTAGTTGTTTGTCACTAACAAAGGAAAGGAAAAGTTGAACCAAGAGGATTGCACTCACAACAAATAGAGAAAACTTGTCACTTAAATAGCATATACCTGCCAACTTTTTCTGAGATATAAGCGTGAGATTTTTATCCTGGGAGTGCTGGGATTTTTGAAGACGACACGATCATTTCCGAAGAAGTCCGAAGTCTCCCGAAGATGTCCGAAGTCTTCCGAAGACGTCCGAAGTCTTAGGACGTGTATAAACGCGAGCTTTTCACTTCAAAAATCAGAGATCACGAGGAAAGTATTGTCATTTATTCATTTTACACATGGTTTTCGTTCCTTACATGGGTCTGAGTTAACATATTTTTGGAAATTGTGTCAAGCTGAGACGGCAACAACTCACATTTTTCAATCAGGCGTGAGAAATTGGCCCGCAAGCGTGAGCCGGCGTGAGATCGAAGTTTTCAACCCGCAGGCGTGAGACTCGCGCCTAAGGCATGAGAGTTGGCAGGTATAATAGCAGTGCTTCATCAGAAGGCCTTTGTTCCCTTTTTCATTGTCTCTAGATGTGTCATGACAGAGGGTATCTCGTCACACAAGATGAATTGGATCAAACACTTGATCAGTTTAAGGAGTCGTTTGGTGACCGACCCAGGTAAAAATTTCTTGGTTAGCAACGTACAAAGAAAGTTGGATTCTATAGCCCAGTGTTTGTGGAGGTTTCTATCAGGATAGTGAATTCTGCTTTTAATGGCAAGTGAAGTTTTGGGGGGGTATTTATAATTAAGAAGAACCATAATCAAACTTTCTTGTCAAGATAGTTTTTGGGCTAGTTTTAATGACTAATGGGCTAGTACTTTCCAGCTACAGCTTGCCCAAAGGAAAAGCTGTAAAACTAATTGTCTTTGCTCCTGGGTCAGAAAATATAAAGGAGAGCAAGAGTTGGTCTCCAGAAGAACATTGCAGTTTCAGTCTCCTATCAGGCTAATTTTCAGGCTCATTTAATAAAACAACTGAGGATGAAATTAGATTCTATAAACTACAATCAGCTACAACCCCTGACAAAACCTGTTGAGACAAATCACGAAAATGCCTATTTTTTCCTGTCATCCCGGCAAAAACTGAAACCTCCGCCAAATGAATGCCCGATTTCCCCGCTCCCCTTATCCAAAGTTGTTTAGGATAGCATGGCAATTATACACGTTGGTTTTTAGACCAGGGCAACTTTGAATAGGGGGTGGGGAGGGGGTTTACTTTTTGTGTTTAGGGGAGACGGGAGTAGGGCGCAAAAGTTAGAAAATAGATGGAATTGTCTCAACAGTTTTGTCCGGGGTTGTAGCTGGGCTTTGACTTTACTTGGCTGACGCACGGTAGAAGTCTGGTATAGTAGTGTCCTTGGCTAGTAATTCGTATTAAAATATACATTAATAGGCAGCAATTTTCAGTTGTGGGCTTAGTGTCATAGCCTTTGAGTGAAGGTGATGCTGAGGTTGACCTTCTTTTGATATAAACTTTGTTCCTTCTCTTATTGGAGATTATGTTATGAAAAAAATACCAGTTACTATAAGAACAACATGATTTGCATGCATGTAGTAAAGAAGGAAGGGTTGTATGAAAACAAGGCCAGCTACAGCCTCATTTCCAGCTGTAACTGTAAAATAGGCTATTGATATTGTTATATTTTAGTGAGGGAAGACCTTCTAGAAGTGATTTGTCAATACTGGTGGCGCACAATGATGACCCTACAGGTAACAATGCATGCATGCATGTATACCAAGAATTAGATACATTCGACTCCTGCTAACTCGAACCTTGTGCTAACTCGAGGCAATTTTCATTTTCCTTTAGGTTTATTTCTATACAATCTTACCCTCAATAACTTGAACTCCTGATAACCCAAACTTTTTCCTATTTCCCTTGAAGGTTTAGGGAGGGGGGCACTTAAGGGAGGTTTGGGTAGAGGTATGCTGCTGGGAAAATTATAGTGCAGCATTTCCCAAAAAAGTGCGTCAATGCGGCAGTCTGGTAAGAACACTGCACCCTGATGCTGTTTAAGACAAATATTGTTTACTTAATTTCTCTACCCTATCTAAGACAAGAGGCCTTATAATACATTGTATGACCGTGACTCTTTTCATTTTGCATACAGATTAATTTAAACTAACATGGAATTTTTGTCTGAAAATAATATTGGTACCAGAAAATTTGAACACTGACCGCCAACTTTCACATTATTCTAAAGGCTTCTACTCCAAAAAGACACCCTGTTGTAAATAGTGGAATTGTATAGTACACTGTTTAAGACACAAGATCCTGAAGATTGTACCCTGTTTAGTAGCACTTATGTGTATACACTGTAGGCCAAACAAGGTAGTACCCCCCCAGGCCTAGTTTGCGTTTAGAACAGGAATTAGATGTCTGTTGAGAAGGAAACTTAGTATCATGTTCTTTAGTTATGAGTGTCACAGCAAACTTGTGAATGAAAAGTGCAAATTGAAGTGTTTATAGTGAAAATGTTGTTCATTATGTTAACCTTGAGCAATTTTCAATAAACTTTGTGTTTTTGTTTAAAATGGGCTATTACTATGTATCATTTATTTAATTTTGAGCTGTTTCTTAAGGCTTGTGTATGGAAGTTTAACAATGACATGTTTCTGTTGATTTTAACATGTTGTTGTTATTTTGTTATGTTACAGACCAGATGTTTATCTTCTTTCCAGATGAACCAAAAGTTGGAATAAAAACAATTAAACAGTGAGTCATCCATAAGGTTAATGTACATTTTAAATGCACATGCATGTCCAGGAGTTGAAATCACTTCAATGGAGGAAACAATATCCCCTGAAATTATCAGGACAGGACTTGACCTCAGCTGTGAGCTGCATAACAAGTCCCTTGCTCTGACCATTTGTACACACTGTCTTCTTTAACGCCTCCATTTCTCCTACTTTGTTTTGACTTTATTCAGTCTTGCACAGATTTTTCCTAACTCAGGCCAATTATCTAACTTACAAATCTCTTCAGATATTGTAACAGAATGCAAGAGGAAAACATAACAAGAGCAATAATCGTTGTACAGATGGGTATGACACCATCAGCGAAACAGGTGAGTACACAACTGGTAGGCGGGGAATTAAACTTCTAAGTTTCTTTTGGTTCTATTTT